CCAGCCAATCTTGCTGCACGAGAGTCGCAATAAACGATTTTGTCATTTATCTCACCCACTCTTCGCTCTTCACTCTTCGCGAAGAGGCGATCAGAAAATCGTTCATTGTGGCTCTGTCAAAGCTAAATTTAGAGGTTTTATGTGTCTAACACAAACTTTAAAATCTTTTCTTGTTCCTTACACATGCAAAATACCATCATAATATCTTATTATTCCATAATTTCCTAAAACATTTTTTTAGTCAAAATGAATGGAAGGCACCCTGGTGAAAAACTGTTGATATGTCATGGGTGCGAACAGATATATAGAAACTAATGGAAAATCATATTAGTTTGCACTATGAGAAAATTCAGTAATATATACCTGTTTTCTTGATGAATATTGCTCACTAAAAGATATATCTTATAAGAAAATTATGTTTATTTTATTGGAGTTGCTTTTAACGATTTTTGACGTTTGTTGATATGTTGCGTGTAAACAGACATGTAGCAACTATTGGACAGTCATTTAACTTTGCAGGATAGGAAAACATGTATATCTCATTGTAATAGCTTCCTTTGATGTTTGACGTTTAAAGATTGTAAACAGATCTATACCAATCATTATATAGTCATATAGATTTGCCTTTTAAGAAATCCAACAACAAACATTTGTTTTAGCATGTTTTTCTGGGATGAATATCGCTTCCAATAAAATACATCTTACATGATTGTTCTTCATATATTCTTGAAACAATTTTCAACGATGTTATCGTACACTCATTAAAATGATTAGTCGAACTAAATATAGCTAACAACAATGATACTGTATTGAATAATCCTTCTTTGTTATTGTTCCATAAGATAAGGTGTTCAAAAAAAGAATGTATTGAGATTGAAAAAAAATATTCTACTGCAATATTTACTTTGCTAAGATTATAATTGTAAGCCTTCTACACGGCTAATTCAGATTCCAGCACTAGCACTTGAACTTCATGAACCAGTTCCATGAAATCATATAATGTAGTCGTTGTTTTATTGCACACAGGAGCATTAAGAAAGATTTGAACAAACGACACCACCGAAACGGAACATAAATTTGCCAGTGCTATTTTTCTTCACTCTAGCAAAACGAGCATAACGTTGCACTACATTCCATGTCGAGAGAGCTGTTCTTACTTCATGCTAATTGAACGAGCCCAATCTTGAAGTCATCCGTGGCCCAGTGGAATCGAGCGCAGACACCGAAAGCATCACACCTCAACAGTTCTTGATCGAATCCCAAATCAGCTACAATAAAAAAGACACAACTGTGAAAGCTCCCACTGCCATATGTTTATTTTTCGATTTATTTTTAGAAATTGATTAAATATATGTGTCAAAAGAAGAAGTAAATTTCATGTGATTTTCACATAAACTTTACTTCGGTTGATTTATGACACATATATTATATTGTGGTGAAAAGTAAAGCTTATGCTTATGGGTTTCAAATCCATTTCAGTTAATTATTGTAATTTGACCAATTTTCATTTATCATATGACGATCATATAAATGTTACCAAATTATCTGCATTGTAAATGTATCAGATATTCATATAGAATTTACCTGACACATTTTCAATCATATCATTTTCATTGGATTATCTTATAGCGCAAATTTATTAGACTTTCACATAACAGGAATATGTCATATTGGTTCAGTGTATCGGGCACAAAACATCAAATATAGGGTTACGGTATGTAATGTGGGTCTAGTCCTTTCATTCGGCCTATCACGCAAATAAATAATTAATTAAGGAATATTACACAAAAAATAAGGAAAATATTGATCACTGATGGTTGATAAATGTGTACCACACACAAATCAATTTATATCACAACATTTCAATACATTTTCAGCTCTCGTAAGTAATAAAACTGGTTGAGAATATCACAATGTTCGGAGTTTTTAGCCGCCATGACTTATAAGGTTAAGATGGGAAGGTTGACTGACGATCATCAAATGGCCTGATTATGGCATTTATTGATTGGAATTACCTGATAATACACACTAGACGTAAAACTTACAGTTGCTGTTTGAATATTTTATGTTTATTTTAATTGTTTAACAACGTTTTCACAAGTAAAACATGGACCCAACTTTAGGGACACATTTCTTTTCTATGTTCCTAACTATGGCCCATGAAATTCATTTGACAGCATATAGCAATAAGAGTAACGTCAACAATGTTGTTTTGCATTTGGATGATAAGGAACGAACAGGAAGGGAGATTTTTTCTGCCAAACCTGTATAATGAACATCACAATGTTCTGATTTAGATATTCTGCGGTCAAAAGACGATAAGCGAAATTTTTAATTTTTAATTTTTAAATTGAGTGATTTAATGTAGTTTTCGTAAAATTTTCTCTAAGAAATGTTTTGAGGAATGAAGAGCATTAAGTTAACAGTGATAGTGATAAAAAAAAATACATCAGAAAACGTTACCAAGAGCGTTTTTTTGAGGATCAAACAAGATAGGACGAAGTTGCATCCATAAATAGACCCAATTTGGGGACAATAGACCCATATTACATACATTTCCCTCGTGAGTTATTGTCTTAAAAAAAGTAAGTTTTTCAACTTTTCGTGGTTTCTGATAGCAAACGACATGATAAGCATATCTAAGCATACCATTTAGCAGTAGAATATCGTTTGCAGGTAAATTCATTGATGAGTTATGATTAAAAACGTAATCGATGGCTGCATATTAGACCGAGGTTAGGGACGTATACCCTATCAGGCATAACATTTGATAACGGCACAAAAGCATTTATAAACAAACGCGAGCCAAAGTACGCCCCCGCAAACCAGAAACATCATCAGATAGGGGCAACTATCACCTTTCCGAAAGTGGTATTGGTTTGCGTGAGCGTACTTTGGTTCGCGTGTAAAGGGCCTTAGAAAGTTTGTTTACAAATGCTTTTGTGCCATTATCAAATGTTATGCCTGAATGCATCATCAGTAATACCAACAATCAATACGAAACTAACGATTTTAAATTGGCTCACCACTTTAGTAGCCTATTGGTCCCAAGCAAACGATTAACGTACCCTATTCTAGTTGAAATTCTATTACTACACTATGTTTGTTTTGATTCGCTATGAAAGTTTGACAGATAACATCAGGGGTGTGTGGATTCATGCAGAACATGCAGGGGTGAGTGAAATAGCTTGGGACTGCTTGGGACCGTTGTTCTGGTACTGAGTGAGCCAAAAATAATAATGATTTTCTTCGGGACCCAGTGGTCTTAGAGTTACCTCTATGGTAATACCATAGAGGTAACTCTAAGACAAGTAGGTCCCGAAGAAACGTGCTCAACTTTTTGGCTCAGCTCTGGTACTATCTTCGGTCCCAAGCTAATCGATTCACCCCTCGAAACATAGGAAAATCCACTAACCCCTCATTTTATCTGTCAAACTTTCATAGCGAATCAAAACAAACATAGTGTAGTACTAGAATTTTGACTAGAATGGGATACGTTAATCGTTTGATTGGGACCAATAGGCTAGTCAAGTAGTGAGCCAATTTTAAATCGTTAGTTTCGTATTGATTGTTGGTAATACGTCTCACTCAAAATGTATTCATGCCTTGCTTTCGACGTCCACATGAAGTGAAACCAAAACATGTTTATTGATGTATAAAAAGTTGTGCCACCAACGATGGCTGACCCCATTGTTTACGTACGGTGGAGACATCTACAATGTAAGTGGGTACCTGAAACTAATAGCAAAGACATCATATCAAGACTGGCAACTGGCCAGAATCCAAGCGACAGATACAAAAGCGCTGCGCTTGAGTAAAGGTGGAAGCAACGCATAGAAAAATGAGCAAATACACAAACCTTTCTTCTGAGGATGTAATCTTTGCTATCTAATTCGTTCGAAGCATTGTCATTCTTCTTGATTTGATGCAACAATAGTGCCGAGATGAGTGAAAAGAACTTATTTTTGGGTACTTTTTTATAACCGTGTATATAATACAACTTTAAGCCACAGACAAACAGACATAACTCTCACAATCACATTCTTCGCAAATAAGGTTTTAGTTAGGAATGTGCTCGTATCCGTCATGGTGGCGTCAACTACATTTCAAACCAATCAGTGATGCCAGTTCTTTTTTAGATCAATCTAGGCTGTGTTCCCATTCGGTGAATTCTCGCTTAAATTTGACATTTCGAAAATAAATTATAATGTTCGAAAATCCCGTCTGATTTTCTAGAAGGCGTTAGTCAAAATTTATTCCTGGTCTATCATAAATAAACGAAATAAGGCTCTGAACCATTTGGCGAATTTTTTTAACTTTTGGTTAAAATTTGACAGATGGAAAGTTATCGATGAACCCTGCTATCCGAGCAAGGTTATTTCTGACAGACAAGAAGTTAAATTTTGACAACTGTGGCTGAGTTCTACTCGAAAACCGGTCGATCGACAGCACAGGGATTTTCGAACATAGAAAATAACTTTCGAAATGTCACTTTTAACCATGAGTTAAATTTAACTCGGCAAATGGTTTACAGCCTAAGGCTGTGAACCATTTGCCGAGTTAAATTTAACTCGTGGTTAAAAATGACATTTCGAAAGTTATTTCTTATGTTCGAAAATCCCCGTGCTGTCGATCGACCGGTTTTCGAGCCACGGTCGTCAAAATTTAACTTCTTGTCTGTCAGAAATAACCATGCTCGGATAGCAGGGTTAATCGATAACTTTCCATCTGTCAAATTTTAACCAAGAGTTAAAAAAAATCGCCAAATGGTTCAGAGCCTAAGTGGAAAACTTGAAGTGATAGGACATATCTGCCATCATGACGGCCATTTTGGGACTCTTCAAGGAATCACCTTAAATCTAAAGATGTTTTATGTGCAAAAACTGTGTTGTGAGAAAAATAGGACAGTTACGGCACAAAGAGTCAGCATTTTCTTTCTATTAAACCAAGAAGCCACATTTTTTACAACAAACACTCATTATTTATTTTACTCCAAGAAAAAAAAACCTAGCACATCGCATCCATCTCCCCCAAACACCGCAGCACCGTTTGCACTATCGTATCCACTTCGGCCATCGCCCCCAGTCCCGTATCGCCACACATCAGCGTCTTCGCCACGCAGGGAATCTCCCGCAGGCCCCAGGATTTCAGCGTTTCAATCTGTGGCCCCGTAATCGGATGTTCCCACATCCGGGTGTTCATGGCGGGAGCAAACAAAAGCGGTTTCCCGAAATCCCAAGCCCTCGCCGTACACAGCAGTAGATTGTCGCACAAGCCCTGGGCCATTTTGGCCAGACTGTTCGCATCCAACGGGGCAATCACCATCAGATCGGCCCATTTACCGAGATCGATGTGCAGGACAGGATCGCCGCGTCCCTTCCAGCTAGCCCATTCATCTGCGTCCCGGTGGATCGGCACGTCCGGTGCGATATCCGACGTGGCGAAAAAGTGCTCGGCGTGCTCGGTAACTATCACTTTGATTTCAACATCCGGCTTCGAAACGCGCAGTTTTTCAATTAGTAACGGTAATTTAATGGTGGCTACACTGCCGGTGCAGCCGATTAGAATGTTCCTTTTGGTCATTCCGGTCATTATTGTCTAAAGTTCACTTCAACACACATTCAAACACTAGCTTTCTTCTTTGCATCTGCACCTTCCAGATCAGCGAAACCCAGCTTGGAGAAGTCTTCCTTGGCCATAAGGTTGTTCTCCATGCGACACTGGAGGTAGGCTTTGGACTCCTGACGGCAGGCCGAGTTGTCGTCGTTGTTGACGCGCAGGCAGCGCATGTAGTACAGCATCAGCTTTTTGCACTGGTTTTCGTGGTCTAGCGGGAAGCTACCTTTTTCCGGGGCAGTGGGAATGAACTTTTTCTGTCCAAAGGTCATAGACGCCATCTTGGGTGGAGGAGATTACCGTTCGCGGGATCTGCGGGGAAATGAAAAAAAAAAATATATCAGAGAAAAAGGGTTTTTTTAGATGCTCGGAACGGAAGGAAATGGGAAGAGCGTGGGCGCATACGTTTCCTTCAACCATGCTGGAGCAGTAGAGGTGATAAATTCGACAGTAAGCATTTATAAGGGCGTAAACACGATCCCTTTTGTTAATAACTCGCTTGGATTGACGTTTCTCGGTGCGTTTGTTGGTGCTTTTGAAAGCCAATACAACTTGTTGCAACACTGCATTTAAATGATTGGTCGGGATGGTCGGGATGCATCCAAATAGAACAACTACGATAGTGAGCATGCATAAGGGCCTAACTGCGATGATCGATTGTCTCTTTAAATTGCTACAGCTAATAAAAGCAATTTTTTTAAATATCCAATACAGTGCTGTAACAGGTTGTATTGGCTATCAAAAGCAACAACAAAGAAGAGAGTCGATCATTGTGGTTACGCCCTTATGCATGCTCGCTGTTCTACTACCGATTGAAGCAATGCGCGAAGGAGGCGTATCTTCACGATTTGTTCGGGCACTTCTTGGAAGTATCCGAGAAATGCATCAAGCACAATGTTTAACTGGAGGAAGACAAGCGTGCCTAGAAGATTCTCCAGAAAACCTCTATTTTCATGAAAAGGTGAAGAGACAGATTCCGGTGTATTTTGAAAAATGATACATCGGAAACAGAGCCAAGCTGCAAAACTTCGTGTAACATTGCATTTCAACTGCTTGCGAGAAACGAACAAAACGAACATTTTAATTTGGTTCTGCGACAGGTTCGAAGTCTTGTCTCAAAATATTACAGGCTTTTATTTGATCGTTCTCAAGCATTTCCTTTAGATTAATTTACTTTTCTCATATTCGAGAAATTTTTCCAGGACAAACCTGGAAAATCCTGGAAAAATATGAGGCAAATTTGCTTATCGCTGATGTAATTTATGAGTTAATTAAACTCAAATTTGAGCTGTTCTCATTCGTCCTTGGATTCTCTTCGTATTTTAATCTTTTTTCTAAAAATTCACTGAAGCTTAATTTTTTAAATTTTCAATTCATGCAATTCACTTCAGATTCTCGACCAACAATTGAAAAGGGCCTATTAGATTTTGTGAGCAAAACTTGTAATCCCCAATGCATGCCAACACTATCGGACATAGGAAATTCTCCCGACGAGAATTCAGTTCCACCATTTCAAAGGGGCGTAATTGCTTTTGTAAATAATGGCTTTAACCGTCGATCTTTCGAAAAATAAGGCCTACCGCTCCAAATTAACAATGCTAGCTGTATAATGAGAGAGAGAAGGATTAGTAATTTCCATTTAATTCCATAAGCAATTATCCTTGACAGATACGCGTATTTCGTCTACAATGTGCCGACTTCTTCAGTGTCTTGTACTAATACAGTCGAGTATTAGTACAAGACACTGAAGAAGTCTGCACATTGTAGACGAAATACGCGTATCTGTCAAGGATAAGCAAATAAGGTAGTGGAATTAAATGGAAATTACTAATACTTCTCTCTCTCATTATACAGGTATTCCACTAAGACGCCCACATTCATCAGGATTCAATGCTAGCTGGTAGAGGAAATATTTATCTACTTGCTGATGTCATTCGCATTCATGAGTGAGCTTTTATTCGCAAAAAATCGACGGCTAAAGGCATTGTTACAAAGGCAATTACGCACCTTTGAAATGTTGGCACTGAATTGTCTTGAAATTTTGCTCAGTATTATCTTGAAGGTCTCCTCTAAATTCCAGCTGAAATTGAACGTAACAGAATTATCTTCCTCTTTTCCTAAACCCTTTAGTGATGCATTTATTGGCATTCGTATGGTGCATTAGTAAAATGCATGCCCGTTCCGCATGGCTTTGGCACCTGGCCACAACGGGGGGAGTTAAGTTGTGACGCTTGGTAACCCTAATAAAATTGTTATGGTTATTTTTCTTAACGACGTGTTCCGGGTATCATCCAAACCATTTGTGGAATAGTTCTATTATTTGGGTTGTCGTTCGTTTATGGTTATTTTTTATTAGGGAAGTTGGCACAGTACTCGCTGACCACTTGAATGTCACTGGCAAATCCGACACTGTTGTTATCATTCTCTGGAACGGGTTGCCCGATTCCAAGAATTGTTAAAGCATACAGAGGATCACTATCCAGTGGATTCATGTTGTGACAACATCTAAAATGGAAATATACACAGTTTGGGATTGTAGTCCTTCAACCTTACATTTTCATTTTCTCCAACATTAGATCCTGCTACGCCTTCCGTTGGATCGTGATGTAGGTACCGGATCTTTCTTCTTTTTGAATCCTTGAATTTTCAGCAGCTTTCGAATGACGGTTGTTCACTCAACGGAGGTGGAAGCCGCCAATTCCTTATATTTGATTGCTTCCAACAGGCAAAGTAAACAATATTTCGGTTCATCGTACACAAGTAAAAGCTACTTTCACTAGGTATCGATCCGAGTTTCAATCCTCTACTTGATCTACCATGACAAGTTTTTCGGTTTGGAGATGAAAAACCACCGGCTTGCTGTGATTATGATACAAATTGCCGTGAAATTTTGTAGAGCAAAACAAAAACAACAACGAGTACCGTGATATGATTATTCGTTTCGGTGACATTAGGTCACACACACAGTCACTGTTAATGAGTAGTCTCACTAACACTTGTACTTCAAAGTTCCACCTTTGATTGTCAGAGGCGCTGTTATCAGTGACTTTTGACATTTGTATGGGAGAAGGGAACAGTTGCCAGTCTTCTTGATTTGTAGTCTTCGGTTTAGACAAGGCAAGCAATTGATCAACTCTGTTGAAACCATGCTATTCAACTGACTTGTCTTGATCAACTCACTCGAATTGAACAAAGTTGAACCAGGGCTCAACTCTTCAAGCCAATTGAATTGATCAATGACTTGCCTTGTTGAAACCCAGCTTAACTCTTAACCATTCTTACATTTACTCAAAGGCGCCCCAAATGCGCTCAAGGGTTTGATTTTTGTTGCACACAGCCGGATCGAGCAGACGCACCAATCTTCTTGAAGGTTAAACTTTGTCAGACGCAATTGGGTGTAACATCTATTGAGAGACGCACATACCCATTAACAGGTTCAATTTTGCAACAACAGCGTCTAGCGTCAACGGAAATGGATTTTTATCTCAGTTCAACTCAGTGGTAGCTGAATTTATAATAGACTCAAAATCCATCGAAATACTCTTTTATTTGGGTAACTTTTCCTCAACTTGCAAAAATGCAACAACAAGGATTGAACAACCACTTTAATTCGCAACTCTAATAAAAATTTGAAATGAAATTATATTTATTAATAAGTTTCTATATTTCTCTGAATTGGAATGAAATTTCCTAAGATTCCCTGATTTTCCAGGTAGTCGACCCTGCGTACACGCTAACATTAAAAACTTCTTCCAAGAAAAGCTTTGGAAATTCAAATTATTTATATTTGAGAAAAACTCCCCGTATTCTCAATTGTTATTACAATAGTTGTTTTAGAAATTTCATCTAACATTCTCAACCGATTTTTAGATGTGATTAACAAAAACCTGACGTTGAAACTTCAACCGCACAATTTGGGGATATTTTTTTTATGCTTCAAAAATCTGCCAATCTGGGTATGTGCCAAGATTTTCAAACCACCGTGTATTAATTTGTTATGGGAAATTTGGGAAACATGAAACGCAATGTTATGTAAATTATAACACATCTAGTATAAGATATGAAATACACACCTTTTTCAAAAGCGAATGATGCTGACAAGCTAAAACGACAGTGAGAAACGCAATGAACGATAATTTTCCGGATAATGATGAGAAATTACCTCAAAATTCCATGTCGATTTCACTCAAACTTCCTGCACCAAACATCCACGGAAAGGAAATTTTTCACCGAATGACAGCTTCACTGAATTCACTCGCCGCACCCACACCCAGAAACATGCGGATAAAATTTCCCTTTTAGTTCTGTCAAAAATTCCACCACTGTCACGCACACACACCCGCCGCGCTTTTATCCCAGTCTGCTTTTCTGGTGTGATTCGTTTCGCGTTCGTCGTCGAAAGATTGGAGTGTGTTGCTTGCTTATGTGCTTTGGCTCCCGAAAAAAAAACGCAAAGAAACCGTAATGTTCTGCTGAAGTTCCGTCCCGAAAAGCGCGTTATTCTTTTGATTTCCTGCTTCCGTTTGTCGCGCGAGTGCACCTTCCGTTGAATTCGGTGTGGGTTGGCCGGAAATCGCCGGGCAAAAAGTGTCCTTTCTCCACCAAATAGAAACACGGTTCCCTCATCGAACGTGGCTTCTTGAGTTATTGTTCTTGTTTTCTCTGTTCGTACGTCGTTCGTCGTCGCAGCAGTGTCTCGCTCGGCCGCCGTGGATTCGCGTTTTTTTTTGACAACTTCGTCGTCGTCCGAGTGTTTTGTTTACCTTTTGCGAAAGATAAAGCAGTGGTGTTTTATTGGTTTCCTCAAAAGAAGAGTGTGATAAAAAACAGTGTGTTGTGAAGATTTTTTTCCGAATAGTAGAAAAATAAAAGTGCCTTGAAATTCGTTGGTGTGATAAACCGGTGAAGATAAAACGACTGCGGATACGGACGGATGACGTTCGCTGTAGCCACCTGTTAATTGGCGTTCGGAAAAGCAACGAAATTGCCTCCCAAAACATCGAACTACTGCAGCACCACCCCGGGAGAAAAGGGAGCAACGCAACGTATAAAAGCAGCGCGGGTAAGCAAACAACAAAGAAGATGCTGAAACGCGAAACGAATGTTTTGATTTTGGTTCTCTGGTCGTTGTGTGCAGTGCGGAACAGTTAGAATGGAAATCTAGCAAGCAGTTTCCCCTTCTCCGTCTTCCGGGTTTCGCCGTCGCCCAAGTCTAGCAGCAGCAGCAGCAGCTGCTGCTGCCTAGCGGATTGGGCACCATCTATGGAACATCATACAACACCTTATTGTGTGTTGTACCTCCTTGTACATAACGATAATTATTGCTCAATGTGCTCAGGGGGCGGCACACCACGACCGGAGGAATGAGTCATGTCGCGATGACACACAACAAGGGTGTCGTCAGCTATTTCCCATCCTCCGACCGAGCCATCTATCCGGTGGGAAAATCTCGGCAGATTCGATTGTCCCCGCAATAAGGCTGATAAGGTTGTAGTCTTGGTTCGCCATATAGAGAGGCATCGATCCAACCAAATACAATACACCCCCTTTTCTGTTCCAGAAAAGTTTCGCAATGTTTCCGATAATCGCATACGCTACGTCGTGTGTGTAGTGCTGTAGTAGGAGTGAAGGAATGCAATGCGAGCCAGCGAGAATGGAAACCTCTGTACATTAGGTTATACTTTGCTTTTCCTATGCTGTTGCTGCCGACTGCTGCTTTTCTTGTTCTTGTTCGTTCGCTGCGCTGAAGAAACATCGATGGAAGTCGGCTTCTGTTTGTATCAGCATACAGTGCGATTGAAGGGCCAGGGTTGTACTGAGTGAAGGGGACAACAAAAGTTGTTTTAAGTTTAATACATGGCGTCGGCGTTGAATTAGACTGGGGTTTATTTGAAATTGTGCGGGCAAAGGAATACGTGAAGTTGATAAACGTCGCTAGAACTATTCCAAAGTCGCAGACAGTATATGAGCAAGATTAACGGGCACTCTTTTGCCTGTGGATTTGAGGACATACCTCAAATCCTCTCATTCATCAAGTGAGCTAGGCAAAGGTAGTGCGCATTTGATTAGTATTGTCGCATCAATGGACTTTCGCTCAATTTCAACTTCTGTTCAATTTTCACACTGCCGTACTCTAACGGAACTATCAATCTATTATATTTAGAACTTTCTCTTGCTAATAAATAATCGCACTAAAGCCTCATGTGAATACATGGGATAGGCACAGCTTTTTTTTGTTGCGAATATGTTTTTTCATACTTCAAAAGTTCCATGCCTTCCCTATGTTGGCGCCTATGCTTAAAGTTTGTTCTCTTTTGAATCTATTGACACCGAATAAATCTGAAACTGGTATACCAAGCCTCACAAGTTTGATGAACCAAAGGCTGGTAATTTTTGCAACTAAATCTATAAACAACAACAATCAAAACTCCACAATCAGTGATTCAGAAGAAGAGAACAGCAACAGCTCAGGAGAATTGTGGAACCAAGGAATTAAACAACATCAAATCCAGAAGTAGCAATATCCTAGGAAAACTTGGAGTCTCCCTCCCCTTGTAAAGTGGTCACCACACCAAAGATCCCGCCATGGAAGAGAAAAGCTATAACAGTTGATAAAACTATACTAGCCGCTAGCAGAAATGGAAATAACCAACCCGAATTGCGAAAACTATTCGACCAGAGAATACATACCAAATATTCGCCGCACAACTCAATTTACACGGATGGGTCAAAAAATGAATTTGCAACCGGATTCAGCGTAATCACTGAAGAGGAGATCATACACAGACGATCTCACAATCATCTTAATATCAACTGCGTTGAAAGCCTGGCCATAATAGAGGCTCTCAGATGGATTACAACCCAGGAGAGAGTAGGTGCATTTATTAAATGCACTGACTCTCTAAGCGTGATTACAACATTAGAAAAAAAGAACATAAAAACTGTTCTTAAGGATGAAATTATACAACTGTACAATGAAATAATCGAAAACGGGACATCAGTGACTCTTTTTTTTTGGGTTCCCAGTCACATTGGCATCCCAGGTAACAAAAGAGCTGATAAAAAAGTAAAATTGGCACTCCAGATGAACACAATAATGCAAAAGACAGTAGACCATCGTGAAATTAAAACCATTATTAAAACCTATTAAAACCAGTATGACCAATAAATGGAAGGTCGAATGGAACGCTACCAATAACAACAAGCTTAGAGAAATCAAAAATTCAGTTGCACCCTTCCAAGAGGCCATCACAGGAAACCGTAGAGAGGATGTTATACTTACTAGGCTACGGATAGGCCACACCCAACTGACACACTCATACTGTTCACGCACATAAGAGCGATGGTAACCGCCGGTGTCTCACGCACTTAATTCCAACACGCATCATCCTAAATCATCCTGGACTACAGGGCCAACCATTAACCCATCGTTGAGCGAGAATCCCGATGTAGTTTTGCACGAAGCATCGAATACAACGCGCAGTTTCGTTGTCGTGCTATCCGGTTTCAACACGGCATGGTGCGGCAGGAAATAGCACGCTGACTCTGACAGATCTTCTTCTCGTACCTTCTTCATGTGGCCCATCGACAAATACTCCTCCATGAACTCGCAGTACAGCTCCTTCAACTGCGGATTGGTAACGAATCGCTTCTCCAAGCTTGCAAATCGTTTCTCAGCGCTACGCCTTGAATCTCCCAAGCGTTCAATGATGTGCTCCTTCTTGGGCAGCGACACCACAAAACGACCATCGTCGTCACGAACAGTGGTCTGCTTGAAGATCTCCTCGCATGTAGACTCTTCCACGGAATACGTGCTCTTGACGTGACAACTCTCGAGCTCCCAAAAACGAGTCAGCTGTTCTTGAAGTTCAGTCATTGAACACAGCGTTGTAGACGTTTTGGGAACGGAAGACCTGAAATCGAATACACGCCCGGACACGATCCATCCAAAAACGGAGTTTTGGAAGGTAGGGCCATCCTCGTTTAGCCTGAACCTTCCTTCGCATAACAGATTCATGTAGTGTTCTGCGCCGATTATCATGTCGATATCCAATGTCTGGTAGAAGTTGGCCCGAATAAAAATTTACCATACAAAGACAATAGAACCTATTGTTACAATACAATAAAACCTATTGTAGCAACAATAAATGTTATTATTAAAAACAATAAAAATACAATAGAACTTATTGTTATGTACAATATAATCTATTGTTTATGAGACATTTACAATAGAAAAGGGGGGTTGTTAGTTACCGTAACCATAAAAAAATCAATTTTTTCTCCAACAAATTTGATCTCATAACAATAAATTTTATTGTTCTTTATTGTGCAAAATTTAGATTCCATAGAATTTGTTATAAACCTGTTGTGGTGACTATTTGATTATCTGGCCAATACAAAAGAATTACAATAAAATTAATTGTCAACAATATAATCTATTGTATTGAATTGGTATTTTATTGTAATTTTATGGTTATTTTTATCCGGGGGGGTCTGCCAACACCATATCCTCTGGTAGATTCCACTGGCTAATTTCGACCTCTTCACTCGGGAGTGGAATAGTTAGCTTCGGGAGGACGTTGAACTGCATCACTTCTTCGTAGTCTGAGATGCTGGCGAAGCGAGGGCTGATCATGCCGCAGACAGCGTTTTTCGATACAATTCCTGAACCCCCAATACCTTTCACTGACAAATAGTCCGGAAATTGCTTGAGTTTCATCCGTCGACAGAAGTCGGATGTCACGAAGCAATACTGGGAGCATGAATCAAGCAACGCTCTGGCTAGCATTCCCAAGTAACCAACAAGCCCGTTAATCGCCCTTTTTGGTATATAAGGCTGCTATACGACTGACATAAAGTTCGGACACCCTATATTTACCTTATATCGCAAAAAGGGCGATTATCGGGTAGTTAGCGGGCTTGGTGGTTACTTGGGTTGTGCTTCCCTGGCTATCGCACACACGTACCATAGCGGTTGACAGAAGAACTTGGCGTGTATGTGATCTTGTTTGTGTTGGGAGTGCTACAGTATTTTGTAATGTGTTGGATCGGTCTGTGGCAGGCTGTGGGTTAATGCAATGCGATTGTGTATTGACGATTGGTAGTGAAGTGGATGGTTCGTGTTGGTTTGTGGTTGGTGCTGTTTGCTGTGTTGGAGATCCCGATTGTGCTTGCTGTGTATGTTTTTGATATTCACTTGAGGGTCGTTTTGTCGTCTGTGGAACGGAGGATTTTTGGTAAGCACTGTCCGAATCCGTATGAAGCAGGGAATGGTGTTTCCTTGCACACTGACAGCAAAATCCTTTGCTGCAGTTCCTTGCCAAGTGCCCTGATGACAAGCAGTTGATGCACAAACCGTTCTTCCTCACTGCGTCATAACGTTCCGAGATCCTCATCTTCTGGAACCGTTTGCACACGAATGCAGAGTGGAATGATTCGGAGCAAAAGCAACACCTATTAGTGGAGGAGGTCGACGAATGACTCGCACCAATCTTCGGTTTCCTGAATTCAACAGGGGTGGGCGGCGCAGTGGTTCTTCAGGAAGTTCACTAGGTTTCTGTAGGTCGGTACTTCCTTCGAGTTATGTGACGTCTCCCAGAGTCGAAGAGTCCCAGGGTCGAGCTTCGAACACACCATGTGCACCAGAATGGTACTCCAACCTTCGGTTCTCTCCTCCATTTTCTGCAGCATTTGGAGATTCTTTTCGAAGTCACTGACGATCTGGCTGAGTGATTCGAAACTCTCCTTCATCATTGGCTCAATTGCGAAAATGGCATCCAAGTACGCTTTCACGATCAGCTTCTTATTGTGGTACCGATCTTCCAGTGCATTCCAGGCCACCTCGTAGTTTGCAGCAGTAAGCTCAACGGCATTTATTTCTAAAAGCGCGTCTCCAGACAGTGATGAACGAAGGTACGTGAATTTGTCCATGTCAGTGAGATCACGGTTCTGGTGAATCAAGCTCTGGAATGCATCACGATATGAAACCCAATCGCGCAACTTGCCGCAGAATGTGGGCAGTTTAATCTCCGGAAGCTTGACCTTCGAAAGAATGGGTCCAGAAACCGGTATTGATGGTGCAGGATTTGCCGATAACATTTTCTGCCGCCATTTTACTAACGCAGCCTTGGTCTTGCAGTAGCTATTCTCAACGTGCTTCGTCATAGCTTCGCTTTCATCTTCCCTCTTCTTCGACGCACTTTCAAGCCTTCCTTGGAATCTGCTATTTCTTCCTCGTCGACTTCATCTATTATCACGTCTATCTTTTTAAGCACTTCAAAAAATTCAATGAATGCACTCTCTAACAGCTGCAAACGAACTTCAACCTCATCGTTATCACGCTCTTCGTTGTAAACTTGCACGAAACTGGCTACAGAGTTTATACTGTTCAGTATGCGCTTCTGCCTCTTCAGCAAACTTCTTAAATCACTCGCCATGATTCGGGTATCACTACTGAAATCACTGAGTCACTAGTAAGTACACACTGCACAGGTAAGTTCGTTTGCACTGTCCACTTTCACCACACTTTCCTCTATCGCACTGATCTGCACTGCTGACTGCGAATCGACTCGACGTTCCACGCGCCGCGAGACGAACTGACCACCCAAGATTGACTACAGCGAAAGGGAATTCAACCAGCGGAAATCAAGTAAACCAGAACTACCAGCAAAGTCCTAGACCAATTCTGAAGGCGAACGAATCACAGGGACCAGATCCACTAAATCAAAAACACAATGTCGCATGCAACAATTTAGATTTTATTGCAATTAACCTTCACAGACATTTGCACTTTTTATTGATGGCACTCGTCATGCATCGAGCCACCACAGACCACACATGCACTGTACTTATCTGACTCCAATTAATATCGAACAGCGCTGCTTTCGTCGTCGATCTCGCTCGTCCGTCGAAGTCCGCTCCGTCTCCGCTTGCCAACAGGAACCACTATCGATCAACTAGTTCAGCAGCAATCCGTTATTCTTTATTCACCTCGAATGTTTTATTATTGGGTATTATAAGTAACCCAAAGCAAATGCGCGATGGCGAAATTTCAATTCGCGCTTTTGTCCCGCACTGCACAAAGCAAGTGTCCTTTTTCCGATCGCCCAACGGCGCACTTTACATTCGCGCGAAACGACACCTCGATTGAATCCGGCTCGAAGGACCAATTTATGTTCACGCACATAAGAGCGATGGTAACCGCCGGTGTCTCACGCACTTAATTCCAACACGCAGTGATATCGTCACTATAAATCACCTTTAATCGCGGTTAGAGATACTTTTATTTGGCTTATAATACAACGTTTATTTGCCGTCGGCCGATCGCGGGGATGGTTTATTTACTACTAACAGTACTACCACAGAACAGATAGGTAACATGGGAATCAGAAACGGAGCCATTTAAATTTCAATTGGTAGTGACACCTAGCGGTGGAGAGAACGCTTTTTACACTCAAAATTTATTTACACTTATACCACCTTTTACCATTTATACCAAACATACCCAAGATTCATATATTGAAAGGTGTGTACACTTCTGTTGGTGCTTATGTATAGAGTGTCTTTAGGAAAGATGAGAAATTCTTATTTATTTTTTAGATTATATGCTTGTTTTGAATTCTTCTTCTTCTTCGAATTTAAACTTATTGCTTATTGCATATAAGCTTATTGCATGCTCTGAGCTTATGTCGTTTTCGTTTTTGCGGTGCAGCACTGGTGTAGTGTAAGCAGGAATAAGCACGAGTCTTTGACAGCTCAGATCACTTCCTACCCACAGATTTCATCAATGCTTCCTGCAAAAGCAAAGGGTAAGTAAAATGCTAATTGTGGAGTGAGACGATCACATAAAAGAAAAACTGTATTTATGATTGTTTTGCTAATTCTAGTACGATTATCATAATTCCGTACACTTTGATATTCAAAAACACAATTAGAATAAGACATATCCAAAGTTTAACGATAGGAAATATTATCATCAGCGGGTATTTATTTGCATCATGTTCATTTATCTGCAAACAATTAACACTCTAAGACTTCATTTACCCCCGTTGCGATAAAAGGGAAAGAAGTGCCGAAGCTGACATTCCCCCTAATTAAAAAATATCCAATCTTTCATTCATCCTGAATTCTCAAAACTATATTCAATACACATGCAGATCGCTCTACCTATAGGATTAGAAAATATCTTGGGTTGTGAGAGGATATGTCGAAGGAATGGCAGGGAAACTCTCTTTACTCCAATGGCATTTCTCATGGCCGTGTGCGTTTGTATTAAAAAGCAAAACATCTTCCGTCTTTCACTTTTTATGCGTAAAACCGTCGTCCAGAAAAAGTGAAATCATAATGCATTTCGTCGTAGAAAAAAATCGTTCCATTCACGACGGATGACCTCATTGTTTACGATTTATGAGAGGGAAAGCGAATACGAGCTTATCAGTCATGTAGCATATAGTAACATGCCGTCTCTTTTGTTCTTTCAGTCCTCCTGGTAGCAGTTAGTGGGACACTACACTCGATATAGGCAACTCAGTGGCGCCTTGTTGCTAGTTTTCCCAGACTTTTCGATTCGTTGCGTGTGTAATAATATTTTTTGCATTTCTTTGCTTAACGCCTTTGATGTTTTGATCGAATAATTCAATGAAATAATTAAATAAATGTTGTCATGTTTCTTCTACATGTAACATTTGAATGCTCATCAGTACATAGTGGCTTTAGCATTTTTGAATCCAAGGTTAGTTGTGTACTAGGATTTAATATTTTTCTTTCAATCTGGCATTGCTGGTACTAGTATAATGGACAACAAGAATCGTACAGTACTATCCTAATATTTTGATCGTGTGAATCAAATGAAAACTTTACCGTTTTATTAAAGTACGTTAAATTATTTTTTTACTAAAGATTGCTAGTATTGAAAAGCCAAACGCAACGGATTATAATTATATTATGCATGGACAGCTTATTTGACACATGATATTTATTAGCATATTTGTATAGCTTTAGCTTATTAGTGGACATAAAACATTTGTTTCATGCGAAATTAATGGAACGCACCCTAATTACACGCAACAGAACAACGGCTCTCTAAACAAATCTTTACACTTTTAACATTGAAATCAGTGGTTATGTAAGGAAATTGGTTTAGTTTTGTTGCTATTGATACGTGGAGCCTTGCTTATTTCTTAGACAAATATTGCCTTTTTTTAATGTGCTATGAAACTTTCAGAAATTTTGGTTGCAAAATAAGAAAGTTATTTAATTTTTTGAGTTTGTGGTTGAAACAAAATAAACCGTTTAGAATTGTCTCCGAAAAAAGTGCACACACAATAACAGTTGTAACTTTTTAATCATCGTTTTCAGAGAAGATTATTGTGTACATAGTGCAATTTTTTGACGATCTAGAAGGTTTTATACCAAATTACAATGGAGTGAACACACTTCTCTCAGAAAAAAATGTGCACACTATTCCAGGCCTCCGCTGTTCGGTAAATTTTTAAACTACGGTTTGTTTAGTAAAAAGTTTAAAAATCAGTGAAAAATTCAAAAAATAATAAATTTATACGGAACATATACATATATACAGACTTCGTTTAGTTAACCCCATTTAATAATAAAAATAAAAATAAAACTTGTCAATTT